GCACACTGCCTCCCCGTGCTGCTGCAGGATGGCTGTCTGTCCGTCTGACTGCACGACATCTTCCCACCCAACTCAGTTAGCCACAACTGGCTGAGCTATGGAGCCAGCAAGGTCAGCCCTGCGGCTGTGAGCCACCGCTGATCCCGTGGAGAACACCTGGAGCAGCAGATCCATGGAGCAGAACATCCTCCCATCAGCCCTCTGCCAGCGGGCTCCTTCTTCATCAGCCACAGCAGCTGTTGGACATCCCCAGGACCTTCCCATTGAGTGAGGGTAGCAATGAGCGTGGCACCAATGGGACCTCCAGGCCCTGCCACCGGGCTGCTGTGCAGCAGGACAGGCACCCTGCTGCTTTTCTCCAAAGTGGATGTATCCACTTTTCCTCACTGCCTTCTCACTCAAACACTTTTTTTTTTCTTTTTCCCCACTTGAAACCTCTTGCAGGAAATCACCTTCAAGCGAAGGTTAAGCACTGGAAACTTCAAACCCGATGGGAATCATCTGTATATTTGCAAAGTTGTGAAAAATAGAGCTTTTGCATGGAAACATTCTTGCAGCCCCGGTTCCATCATTAAGGCATAAATCCAGCTTTGTAGACCTTCGCTCTGCCTGCTCTATAGGCACAACGCGTTGCTGTGGGAACCGCAACTTTCCGAATTTGTTTCCACTCCACGCCGTTTCAGCACGTTTCCAACAGGAGCTCCAGGGGGAGAAAGATCCACAGCCTGCTGCGAGAGCTCACCCCCAGGAGATGCGTTATGTGAATAAATAAATAGCTGTGTAATGGGGAGCAAGGGGGAGAGTGGGCGGAGGGGGGGGGGGTTTAATAGGAGGTGACAAACAGGTGGTGCTGGGTGTGAGGATGTGGGTGGTGGGGTCTGCGAGTTGTGCACGGGGGATTTGCAGTTTTGGAAGTGGTGGGCAGCAGGGAGCTGTGCTGTGTGCTGCTTCTCCATGCTGCCTGGCAGTGGGATGGTGGTGGGCGCTGCTGCTGGTTTGTGGTGTCACCCATCGTGGGGTCACTAGGCCTGAGGAGGGGACAGTTGGGTGTTCAGACAGTTTGGGGCCACCAGGAGGAGGATGGGGTTCAGGTGGCTGCAGTGCAGGAGAGATGTGATGCTGCTTGGCATGGGCAGTGTGGAGAATCCATGTCATGGTCCAACAGCAGCACTAATGCACCCACAGGGCTTGGCTTACCGTGAAGTGACGTCAATGTTCTTGTCTTCTGCAAGCCCCACATCTGGACATCATTTGCTGCTTGCTATGTCTAAGTGCCCACGTGCCTGCCCACAGTCCTTGCTGGTCCCAGTCTCCCAGAGGATGGTTCTGTGGCTCCGAGAGGAGAGCGTGGTGCTGAGCACAGCACTGTGCCTGAGGACGAGGAGCACCACATGTGCCACCGGCATCCACGAGCATGCTGCATTCCCAGTGCTTCATGATTTACCTCCTTGCAGCACCTCAATTTAAATGCTAATTCTCCCCGTGCTGAGAGGCGAAGCAGCTGGTGTGTGGTGCTGGGTGGTTATTGTGCACGCTGTGCGGCCAGGAGGGATGGCAGTGTGAGGACAGTTGTCTGCACTCCCCCAGCCCCGCCAGCCAAGTTTGGGAGCTAAGGGAAACCTCCAGGCCTGGCAAAGTCTCCTTGGTCTCTACTGTGTCCCATCTCATTAATGGGAGTGGGGGCTCGCTGGCATAATGAGCTGCGTTTGGAGTAAGGACAGCACTGTGCATGGTTTATAAATTACTGGTGCCTGAGGTCAGGGAGAGATGTGGGGAGATTTACGGCGTGCTTACCTTCCCCAGAGTGGCTGTGGAAACACGGCACCCTCATGTCTGTCTCGTAGCAACTCCATAGATCATACTTTGTGCAATTGCAAGGAGCCCTTTCCAAGCATCCCTGGATCAAACTGGGTTCTGGTGAACTCACAGCTGCTCCAGCAGAACTCTTCTCTGAAGGGATGTTGGCTCAAAAACTGGCATCGAGCAGCCTCAGATCCACTGCACCCTCCCTGTGCCATTGCAGGCCAGTAGGAAGCAAGATGAACAAATTCTCATTGCAGGGGGAGGCGTCCTCCCCAGCTTCCATCGCAGAGCTGTGCAAAAAGCACAGTCCTCGCACCGCCGCTGTGCTGAACATAGCCACCCTGGATGATAATGTGATTAACATTTGTAGCTGTGCTGGCTTAGATAAGGGTAATTAAATCTCACGCTTCAGGGCATCAGCTAATCACTCGCAGGGTCATTTTAATTTATCACTTTTTTTTTTTTTTTTGCCCCTTCCTGAATTTATTTGCCCATCCGCCACGATGCGCTGTGTGCATCCTCTGTCAGCTCCTCAGCATGTGGCTGCTGTGGGACCTGGGGGCCGTGGCCACATCCAAGACAGGCAGAGAGCCCTGGCTGCCCCCAGAGACACTGCAGATCTGTGGGACCCCGTGGGATGCCCTTGGTCCCTCTGTTGGCTTCCCGTTGGCTGTGTGATATGGTGCTGTAGGGCTGTGGCTCTACACTGCACTGTATCACAGATTTATGGCATGTTGTTTAAGGTCAGGTTCCCCCCAGAATTCCCAAAAGTGCATGTATGCAGTTTCAGAAGGGCAGGAGGACACAGATGCAGCAGGGAAGCGCGCTGGGCTGCAAGCCTGGGGAATTGGGGCAGCGAGGGAGAAACATTTCTCTCTGCAATGACCCAGGATCTGTCAGTTGCCCCAGTGCATCTCCCTTGCAGAAGTGCTGTGAGCTGATGCGTTGGGTCAGTGTGCATTTCTGAGCAGTAGTGGTGTGAGGTGCAGGAGGCAGGACGAGAGGCAGGAGGATGCTGCAGGGACCTGGGAGCAGATCGGTGTGCTGCTTCTTCCCCTGATCCCACTGGAATACACAGGGCTTGGTGGGCATCTGCAGGCCCAGAGGGCACGAGCATGGGGCTGCTGCATGCCTCCCACTGTACCTCCAGCCCTCCCCTGTGGTTCTGTCAGAGCCCAGAGCATCGTGGTTCTGCTCGGTGCTTCCAGTGGGTGCAGAAACTGTTGGTTTGTGCATGGAGGGTGACGGTAACCGCAGGGTTATTAATAAAGAAGAGAGGAAGAGGAGCTGCAGCCCCCTGCCGGCTGCTGGCCCTCAGCACACTGCCCAGCTTGCTGTGGCCAAAGAGTGCTTTTGGTGTTGCCCCCTCAGCCCTTCCCAGCACGGTGGGTGAGGTGGCAGCACGGTGGCTCTGCGGTGCCTGCAGTCACCCAGCGTGGTCACAGCGGTGGCACACAGCAGGATGTGTGCAGTGGTGCTGAGATGCACCCTGGGAGAGAAGCAGCTTTGGGTCAGGGAGGGAGGAGATGCAGAAAAATGCCATTGCACTGCTGAAATTTGGGCTTTGAACACTGCTGTGAGCATGTGCACACCCACGTCTGTATGCGCAGGACCCACTTGCACTTGGCCCTTGTTTTTCCCCAACCTTTCGACTGCAGAGCAGTTAAAGCAAATGGCATTACAGCAAGCAGCACTGCAGAGCACGGCTTTTTGGTAAATACCTTTTTGCAGAGGTATCAGCGGTGGCCAGCAGCTGTGCATACAGATGGGCCTCGCACTGCTTGCACTGCTCCTGCTGCCTCAGCACAGCCCCTGCCCTCTCTGGGACAGTGTCCCCGGTGTCCCCTCCTCCCTGTGCATGCTGGAGGCAGCACACAGGGCTGGGCACACCTCTGCTGCCTGTCTTTTGCTGTTACTTGTGGTTGACACGCTGTCACACTGCAGGCTGAGCTGTGTCCCACATGTAGCATCTCTTCTCTCCCAGGTGTAGAGAAAGCACTGGGATTGCAGTTCCCCATTTGCTTTGCTCAGGGCTTTAAACAGCAAATCACTGCTCCACCACTGGGAATCCCGTGTGCGATCAATGGGAGATTTGTGAGCGCACGTGTGAGCAAGAGGTTTTTCCCTGCAGACAAATAAAACACTTTTTCCCTGGCAGTGACTGTAGTGAAGCTCCTGAGATTCCATCAGGTGCTGGAAGCTTTGAGATGTGGGGTGGGGAGATGCATCCCCTGCTCTCCTCCTACATCCCTATGCGCTGTTCTGGCTGCATCCAACCTGGAGCAGTGGGGAGGCCCCAGGAGGTGCTGCACCAGTGTCACGCCACACCAGCACCCGTGGAGGTGGACATGTCCCTCCAAGCAGGATGTCAGAGCATCTCTTGAGTGTGGATGGGTGCAGGAGGGGGGAGATAGGGCTGGTGGGGGCCAAAGCTGGAGCCGATGGGAGGAAATCAGCTCAGAGGGAGGGCAGGCAGTGCCAGCCTGAGGGCTGACCTGGTTCTGCAGGAACCTCCTCGTTTTGTTGCGGCTCCGGGAGGATGCAGAGCCTCCTGGCCTATATTCTGTCTCTAAGATCAATATTGAACATCTCCCCCCCTGCGTTCCCTACGCAAGTGCAGGGTTTGCCAAGAAGGGCTCGTCTCACAGCCCTGTCTGCTCACCATTTCAAATAATTTCTCTGCTATAGTTGTTCTAGAAACAATTCATTAGGGGCCTATTATACAATGTTACACCTGCTAAGGTTAGAAAAGATCCCACACATGGTGAATTTGCAGCCTGAGCTGCGCTCTTTGGCTTCTTCTGGCATCTGCCTGTACACTGACTTTTTTGTCCCCATTCTCCCTGGAGCAGAGCCGTGCCTGTGGCACTGCTGGGTGACCAGCACGAAGCTGCACGTGAAGCAAATCAGGCTGCTTTCCTCTCAATGCTGTCTGCCATCCTTCCCACACCACACTTTGGGAATCCAGGCCAAAAGCAGCAGGCAGGTCCCCAGTCTGGCAGCAGTTCTGCTGTAAGCAGAGAGCTGCAGCCCTGGGGAGCTCGTTAAGCATCACCTTGCAGTCTGCAGACGGGGCAGAGAGAGAACCCCATCCTTGCTAGGGCTGCTCCCAGGAACCCACCTGGAGATGTCCCTCGGCCGTGCCGCCCGGCCACAGCCTGCATCCTTGCTTTGCAGTTGTCTTTTTCTCTCCGCAGGGAGAACAACTTCATCAAGGACTTCCCGCAGCTGGCTGATGGGCTGCTGGTCATCCCGCTGCCCGTGGAGGAGCAGTGCCGTGGAGTGCTGTCTGAGCCCCTGCCCGACCTCCAGCTTCTCACTGGTAAGAGCCAGCCCTGGTGGCCAAGGAGCATTCCCCCATAGTTGGCCGTGGGGGCTGAACGCCAGCTGTTCCTTTGCAGGAGACATCAAGTATGACGAGGCGATGGGTTACCCCATGGTGCAGCACTGGCGGGTCAGGAGCAACCTGTACCGCGTGAAGCTCAGCTCCATCACCCTCTCTTCAGGTGAGAGATGCTCAGTGCACGGGAGATAGAAAATCATAGGACCATTTGGGTTGGAAAGTCCACCACCACCACCATGTCCAGCCATCATCCTGCCCTACTGAGTCCCATCAGCAACCCACGTCCCTCTTACAAACCTCCAGGGATGAGGACCCCACAACGGCCCTGGGCAGTGACCTGCTTCATTTCTTTAGAAGGGAAATTGAGACAGGGAAGTGGGCACTTGGTTGCACACAGGGCTGGAGGCAGAGCCAGCCTGAGCTGCTGAGCAACATAGGGATTCCTATGAGCGCATGTATACACACATATATGATAAAAAGCATATTTGTGGTTTTACAGGGACCCAAACTGTTTGTGAATGCAGGTCCTGTCATGCAGGGAGTGGCAGATGAGGAAGGGGCAGGCGGGAGGATCCTGCAGCCGTCAAAACATTTCACTTCCACATTTTTATAACTACACGTTTTGTTTCAGAAATGCTGAAACGTTTTGTTGTGACCTGAAATGTTTTGCTTTTTCATTTCAAAACAGCATTTTTTATTTAGGAAATCAACCTATTTTTAAATGGGAAAAAAAAAAACGAACAACAACAACCCAAAAAAAGACAAGATCTAGCACAGCCAGGCTGCACAGCCCCAGAATGAAGCAGCCTGCTTGGAGCTGAACGAAGTCTTTGGGGTCAGCTCACAATGAATTGTTCCAGCTTTTTCCTTCTACCACCCTTCTCCTTCAATCAACCAGCCAGGCAGATAACCTCGTTTGGGTGACAGATGCAACGTATTTCCTTGCAGTGTGTTTTCAGTTCCACCACTGAAGCACAGCAACAATAGGGGCCCTCTCCAGCAGTGCCTCTGTGATCTGTGGGCTCTGCAGAGCAGTCAGGGTGGTGTCACTGCCCTGTGACATGTCCCAGCTGTCTGCATGGCTTCGCAGGAGGTATTGCCTTGGTGCAAAGCTGCCACAGCCCACTCCATGGATCCCTGGGCTGTCCCCAGCTTTTCTAACTCTCATGAATGGTCATGCCAGGTATTTGTGCTGGAGGTGATCTGCTGTGCTCTCTGTGATAAATTTATCTTTGCATTAAGACAACATCTGTGGTTGGCAAAGGCCATGCACATCCCTTGGGGAGAGCACTGCCCCATGTCCCTGCATCCCGCAGGATGGCCTGGGCTTACAGGAGGGTTTGTGTGCACACACGTGTGCATCCCTGGAAATCTGCTTGAGAAATCACTTGGGGAGAGGACTCATTGCAGGATGGCAGAGCCACAGCCCCGTTAAGCCGCAGGTTGTGCATTGTAGCAGCTGATGCAAACCACAGCAGAGCAAGGGGGAACGTCTCTGCGCTCCGTGGGGGCTTTGTGCTGCAGTTTCCCTGTTCATCTCATGCTTTGCTCCTGCAGGCTTCGCCAACATCCTGAAGATCCTGAACAAAGACAGCAGCCGGGAGGAGCTGCTCTCCTTCATCCAGCAGTTTGGCTCCCACTACATCGCTGAGGCTCTGTACGGCTCCGAGTTCAGCTGCACCATCCACTTCCCCAGCAAGAAGGTGCAGCAGCAGCTGTGGCTCCAGTACCAGAAAGGTGAGGAGGGCAGTGCCCTGAGCGCCACGTGTTTCCATTGCTCTTTGCCATGGTTCACCCCCAGCCCTGCTGCCGTGCCCCGAGCCGGGGGTGCGGGTGGGTTTATGGAGATGTGACATAATTGAGCTGTCTGAGAATAGCTTCGTTTTATTGCTTGTGACAATGACAGTCTTTAAGGAAGTGTATTAAATCAATAGCGGACTCATTGTGCTACACTATAAATAACGAGACACATCATTAAACAGGGCAATAAACTTCAGGACTTTGAAGTAATACAATTAGGTTATGTTTATAAAAACTCCCTTATCGCTGTAGCCTTCCATTTGCCAATCCATCTCCCTCCTCCAGGGAGCTCGGGATATTCCTGATGTTTTTCTCTTGAAAATGTCTGCAGTACTCCTTAGGGCACGCTGCAGGGCTCAGGAGCTGACAGGTGCTTCCATCACTTCCATTTCTTCCATTGCATCCCTCCCATCCTGTGTGCTGCTGTGGTCAGTGCAATCCTGCTCCTGCAGTGCGTTCTGGTTCATTTTCCCTCTGTCTTCCCAGCGCTCCTGTAAGCATGTTTGTAACATCCTGTAGTCATTTGTTTTGTTTTTAAAGAGTGATAAATGGAGTTTGCCAAAGCAATGCCCCCATTTAGCAGGAGGGAGCATTGTGGAGGTGTGCTGCTGATGGCTGCTGATGCAGTGATGTGCTCAGACACGCTCAGCCCTCTGCAGATGTATCCGTGGGGAGAGGATCCCAAGCAGTTCCTGCTCCAAATCCTGCAGGATGCAGGGGGGATGGAGGACAGTCCTGTTCTGCATATGAATGTTTAATTTCTGCCTGTGCTGTGTTATTCAGGTACTAGTGTTGGCACTGATGTTGTTCTTTGTGCACAGCTCTGTCTGTGACATGGGGCTTTGGCAGCCAGCAGGATTGGTGAGGTTCATCTCTGGGGCCTTTGCTGCAGTGGAAGGAACAAGTTCTGTAATTGGCCGCTTGAGGATGCTCAGGGCTCTTGCAGAGGTACCAGGGATGCTGCTCCATGGGCAGAGCATCACAAGGAGCCCAGGGCTCTTTCCTGGAGAAATCCCAGTGAAGAGACAGAACTCGCCAGTGATGGCAGATGGATTTTATCCCCAGCTTCTCCCCTGATTTGCCCTCATTTTAGCAGTGTTGTAGGAATGATCTGGATAAATAGCCCCAGCTAGATGGTTCTGGATGCATTCTCAGCTCAGAAACAGCTCTGTCCTGCTGTTCTCCACTGCTCCTTCCAACACTGCTCCAAGTGTGTGTGCATATCATCTCCTGTAGATACAACAGCAAGGCCAGGGTGAGAGCAGTTTGTTAGCGAGCAAAGCAGGGAGAAAGGAGAGACTTGAGCTAATTGAAACAGCACCAAATATGATCAGAATGCATGCTGTGGCATGCTCACAGCATCGTACTGAATTATTTTAATATTGTAATCAACTTCATAAATCAACTCGTGGGCCTTGGGAAGAAGCTGCTGGCAGGAAAGAACATGATCAGTGTGTTGAGACCTCATGGAAAACACGGCCAGTGACACAGCTTAGCATCTGGGCATCCATTTCTGCAGCCATGTGGAGGAGAAAGGGATGCAGCTCTTGTGGGGCTGGCAGAGGGTTTGTGCTCTTGGGACAAGCAAGCTGCAGGTGCTGCCAGCATTTGTGGGCTGCTCTACCTGTGGAAATGGGGACAGTATTCAAGCAGCCTGAGAGGAAGCTTCCTCCTGGGGCAGTGAGAGCAGCCTGGGGACAGGGATGGGGAGGGTGGCACCACACTGCCCTACTTGGGGCGATTTGTGGGGATTCCTGGGTGGCAGAGCCCTGTTCTGTAGTGGAGCTGCCTGCCACATCCCAAAGGCGTGCAGGAGTGAATCCTGCAAACATGAGAGGTGGGGAGGCCAGGGCTGCAAATGCAGACACTTCCCCAGCCTCTCCTCTAGGAACTGTGTGAGCAAAACAAACCAAACCCAAATTTTATTTCATGCTGAGCGATTAAAATCCTGTTTTCAGGGCCTGTTTGCTTGGGCTCTGTGCAGTCAAGCAGTGCTTTGGCTCAGCAGAGGGGCTTCCAAGCAGGGACCTGCAGATCGACCTGGCCATCGATCTGTGCCACGGGAGCCTGCATCCGTTTTTCCTGTCATTGAAGGCAGTGCTTAGTGCTGATGGTACCTCATTAAGTTCTCACCAGTTGTGAGGACATCTTCATTTGGCAGCTGAGGCCAATGTGACAACCCAGGCCATCCCCTGTTGTGTTTAAGATTGGGCCAGGTCTGCCTGGGATGGGGCAAACCAGCTTCATAGAAGCCCCATAGTGCTGTGCCTGGGGTCTGGCTAATGTGGGGTGCTGACAGTGCAGTGCTCTGGCTGGGGCTGAGCAGTGTTTGCACAGTGTCGGGGCTTTCCTGTTCCCTATGAGCAGTCTGGGGCTGGGCAAAAGGCTGGGAGGGGAGATTTCAGTGAGATTTCAGAGGAAATGCCTTACTCACAGGGCAGTGAGGCCCTGGCACTGCTGCCCAGAGCTGTGGGTGCCATCCCTGGAGGTGCTCAAGGCTGTGGATGGGGACCTGGGCAACCTGGGCTGAGGGCAGGCAGCCCATGGCAGGGGTGGTGCTGGGAGCTGTAAGGTCCTTTCCAAACCAACCATTTTGTGGTTCTGTAGTTCTCTGAGGGCACAGCAAGCCCAGTAATGCCACACTCAGCAATAAAACTGGAGGTAGAGCAGTCAGAGACACTATCCCAAAGTGCATAGAAGAAAAGAAAGGGGTTCCTCCACCCACCCCTGGGGCTGCGTTGTTCACCAACACACATGTGCCACAGAGCTGCTTGCTCCCTGGCTGGATGAGGAGCAGAGCTTGGCAAGGAAAAGGACATAGCTGCTCCAGCAGCACCATCTGACAGCCCCAGTGGGATTTCCTGAGCGTCGTTTTCCTTGCTCGCTTGCTCCTACTGCGATACACAAAATGCAGAACAAATGTCTGTAAGTGCTCTGGCACTTAGAGAAAATGGAGACGTTATCAGCTGTAATGCAGAGGGTCTCGTCTTGTCAGGCATTTGAATGACAACTCTTTTCCTTCTCACCTTGCAGACGAGCTGAGCCTCAGTGTGGGAGATGTGTGTTCTCCAGCTGGGAAGAGCTCACCTCTCCCATGCCACAGGGATCTGGGAGCGGGGCTGATGTGCCTGGGTGTGCATGGGTGGAGATGAAGAGGTTTTCAGTACCAACGTGTTACACTGCTGTGTAAGGTCTGAGAGATGCTCGCTCTCGGCAGCTGATGGCTCACTAAAGCAGGAGGGGCTGTGCTGACAGCTGCTGTCACTTTCACTAAGGCCTCCTGACCATCCATCACCCTCTGCTCGCTTATCTCCCTCGGATCATGTGTCTCTGGATGTGTTTCCCTGTATGAGGTTACAGATTTCATGCTTTCTTGTGAACTGAGCAGTTTAGACAGGGATCTTCATGAAACATAAGCCATAGGATGCAGCCTAAGGGTCTCCTGGAATAGCACTCATATCCTTCAGAGCAGGGTCTGTGGGTCCCTCCTGTCTCTGCATGGTCTGAATCCTCTCCCTTCAGGTCTGGTGCTACCATGAACTGTCCATGGGAACCTTTAGCTTTTAATTCCTACACACAATCAGGTGCATGAAGAAAGGTGAGTTTTGCACCTATTAAAGGTGGTCATGGCCTTCCCTTATACCTGCTTGGTCAGACGTAATGCACTTTGAATTTCCCTATCCTTGAGATAAGCTCCTACAAACCACCACTCTGTTACCTTTATAACACTCTCCCAGCTCGTGGTTTAGATCATTATGTTTATTTCAAACCCCCAGATTTTGACATTTTGCTCAGAGAAGGAAAAAACAATCTAGCTGGTTGCCATGAAATTTAGTTTAGACTAAGTCTGTGCTGTGACTCAGTCTGCTAAGCGACCTTATGCACTGCTCATTGTAATCCAAAATTACCAGGCGAGTAATTAGTTGTGCAAAATGAAATAACTTAAAATCCTCACATGGAGTAATGACCTAGAAAAATCACTTAAGCTATACAATGGAAACAACTCCAAGCATCTGGCTGGAGTTTTACTTTTGTAGCTCTGCCCCCTTTGATTAAGAAGCACTCTTCTACTCATCCCTGTTCAAAACCGTGGCTGTCAGCTGCTGCCCTGAACAAATGTTACAGCATACATAAGCTGTAACTGATAAACTGGCAGCCCATCGCCGTTTAAAGAGCTGCTCCGTATCATCTGAGATGAACACGGGTAATAACAGCCTTTCCCCAGATCAGCAGCTGTGCTGCATGGCAGGGGAGAGCCTGCATGTGCTGGTGACACATGGAGGTCTTCTTGAAAGCTGAGTACAAAACTGCTTCGCTCCCCTTTGGCTCCATGTAAACGCAGACGTGTTGCAGTGTTTATCAGAATCAGTGAGCTCTCCTCCTGGCCCCTGTGAATGTGCTGCCTCTATAGCCATGCACTGCTGAGGCAGAAAGTGCAGGAGCACCACTGCTGTTGGATGGAAGAAACTCCAGGCTTTGTTTATGGGGTGGGTGGAGAAGTGTTAGATGAAGTTACATTAGAGCTGCCCAAGAGATCAGATCTGTCCTCCCCACTGTGACAGCGCAGAAGGGGTCGTGCAGCCATTGTGTTAGCGAGGCTCATTCCCACCAGCCATAAAACACAATCTGCCACCAAGGGGAGAAGACAAAGTGTTTTTAATAACAAAATGAGCCGTCTGCAATGCACTGTTAATTGGATCAATTTTTCCTTTATTACACGATCTTTAAAAACCGAGCACATACGTACAACCAGACAAGTTCTTTCTCCAGGTAGAGAGCAGAAGCAAAACTATTTCATCACAAACCTTAATTGCCCCGTTTCGTCTCATCTGGCAAACGATCACAGCATCACACTGGGGGCACCACAGCAAGAAATACAGCTCTGCAACATCACCTCGCAGTCAGTCACGTTGTGGCAGGGAAAGGCTAAGGACAGCAGATTTCCTTTTTCCCTTCCTGAAACCCCAGCCCAGAAGAGCTGCAGACAAAACACAGCCAGGCAGCCCTCGCCCTGCCCTGTCCCACCAATGCATGGCACAGCAGTGTTATTTTTCCCGAGTCTCTGAGCGAGCAGCAGATGACAGATGCTTTGTTTTAGCTGCGTACCCAGTAACAGACCGGGGTAAACAACAGCTCAGCCCATTTGCTGGACAAGCTTTTATGTCCCTTTAAGCACACCAGGAAATGTTCTTGCTGGTAGTGTGATGTTTATTGCAAAAAAAAAATTCCATTGGAACGGAAAATGACAGAGGTACATATTATCATAGATAATATTGCTTCAATTATTCAGGTCCACAGTAGCTTCCTGCTTGGAGCAGTTCTTAGAAACAGGAGAGATGTTTAAAAGAGATCAGTAGGAGAGGAACTGACATTACCATAATACTGGAAAAAACGCCTTGAGTTACAGTGTAATTAACTGCAGAAGGTGCCAGTAATAGTAGTCATCTCCCAAAAACATACATGCAAGATGAGATCAGCTCCCCAAATTGCTGTTACGTACCTCAGGCAACTGCCCCCTCCCACCCAGAAAGAGAAGCAGGGAATGTAAATAGTTGTGTGCATATCGACAGCCTCAGCAAATACACAGAGCAGTGCAGGAGGGAGGGGGCTTCAATTCCCTTGGGCTCTTTTAGTGTCTTCCATCATCTGCCCTGCTAATCATCCCCTCTTAGCTCCTACCCTCTTCTCTAAGATCTTTCTACAGTGCGAGAAGAACAGGATGTTGTCCTGCTCATTGGGCAGCTCCATCACACAGCTGGGCTCCTGTTGTGCTGGCCCTGCTCTGTGCTGTGGCTCAGCACAACAGGGAGAGGGAAAAAAACAAATTCTGCCAAAGGAAAGCTGCTTCTGGAAACCCCATCGCTGCCCTACAACAGGCTGGAGCAGCAGCTGCTCTGAAGGCTGTTTTCCTTTCCTGCTTCACCAGGGAAAAGTATATGAGAGCATAAAAAAATCACCTGTTGCATACATGTTGTAGGACAAGCAGCAAACAATTTGCTGTCGCATGGCAGCCACCATAAAATCAGCTTTTATATTGTCTGCCATGCCCCCAAATTTGCAACTATGTTGTTGATAGCAACAAATAAATGCACTGCAGCGTAACTATTATCTGTGGCAGATTAACATGCTACCACTGTGCCCTATTTGAATGCGTCCTTCCTTCAATAAACTATTCCAGGCAAGCAGCACCACACTGAGGTACACATTTATCAGTGAGGAGAGTAGCACTGTGGGGGCTTGGTTCACACAGCTGCAGTTTTGTGCTTCATTTGGCCCAAAGCCGTGATGAACATGAACTCTGGTGCCTGCTGGTGCCATAAAAAAGCTGAGGAATGTCATGATTTGCTGTGCAAGGAGAAAAAGGCAATGCACCAATGGATGTGCTTTCGAGTGCTAAAAAAATTAAAATGAAGCAATCCCCCCCCACCCTCATCGTGGGATACAAAGTGCAGACACGTGGAAACCTGTTTGCAAAGGTAAACGATCCGGAATGCAGGCAGTGAGGTGCAGGTGAACATACAGTTGTGTGTGATCTCATTTACTCCCACCTCCCAGTCTTCTTCCCCCAGCCTTTCCCTCCCCCCCCGATGAAGGTAGCAGACAAACCTCCCAAAGGCAGTTCCCAAGATACATTTAATAACAGCACACTTCTGAATATCAACAGATTTCCCCTGATTTTTTCCTCCAACCCCCACCCTTCTCCCCCTCCCTCTTCCCCAGTGGAATTCTTAGCAGTAATAATAACCCTGTTGCCATCAGAGGGCAGTTTTCTGGCTCAGCTCGGTCTCCCATGATTGCACTGTACTCACTTCACATTGAACAGACACGGTTCACAAATGGCACGACAGGGGCGATCTCCTGAATACCAGAAAAGCGGAGAGAGAAAACCCTCACTCCTCAGTTTGAAAGTAAAGCTCCATCTCCGTGCGGTTTAAGAGGGCTATTTTGTTTTATGCAGTGCTGCAATCAGAAATTGCTTTCTGTAGTAGTTGCCCAGACAACTGCTACTGAGTTCCTCACGAGTACCATGGCGAGAGAGGATTGCCTCTCTAGTCCCCTAAAGGAAGGTGATTTAGGGCAGTCAGTCAGTGTTTATGGCACAAAGAAAGGTACAGTGGTTGAAGACGTCGTCAATGCAGAATAAGGAGGTGAGAAGGGTTAAGGAGCGACTGGTCATTTAGCAAAAAACCAATATTCCAGAAGGATCTCTTCCTTCGTGCTCTTCTTTTCTATTGTACAGATTCGAAAAGAGAAAATGCAGACCACCACCACGTTAGTTATTTTGTTCCTGAACAAAAAACGTGATGGCCTCCATGCCAAACCCCGTTGGGCTGTGGTGCAGTTTTTCAGTGTTTGACACTGGTTCCTGTCAGATTGCAGTGAGGCTGGAAGAACGGCTGCTAAAGACAGGGGCTTTCCCCAGAGAAATGCCTTTAAGGTGTGGAATATCTTCTCAGATGGTAACTGTAGATCTTAATGCAATGATCCCAACAGTCCAGCACCAACAGCTGCCCTTTGGGAGTAATGGCAATACCAACCGGGCAGGTGAGTCCTTCCCGGATTAAGATATTATAGCCTCCTCCTTTAGGAAAATGTAGGATTTCTTTACGGCTGCTGTCAGCAACGATGAGGTCTCCCCTGGCATCTACACACATCCCAGCAATGCACCTGAAATCCTCATTCTCAGAGAAGAAATGGCTAATCTGGCGTCCCAGCTGCCCGTCTGGGCCAACAGAGCCGATTGAAAAGCCTCCTTCTAAGTGGTGTTCGTACTGCCGGTTTTCCAAGTTGAGCCCCAGCCCCTGAGTGAAGTATATGGTCCCTTCAGCATCACAGGTGACAAACTTGGGGCGCACTGCACTACACAAGCAGGTGTACTTCACCACCCCCACGCCACGGTCCACAGTGAAGCACCACAGCTTCCCTCCTTCCACATCAGTCACCACAAACTGCCCAGAGGGCAGAGCTGCGATGCCCCAGGGCTTGCTTAGCTGGCTCCTGTGACATGCCACACAGTGGCCATCCATGGTGTACACCTTGACAGAGTTATCGTAGCTGTCGGTCACACCTATCAGGCCATGGCAATTCATGGTGACAGAAAGGGGAGTCAAATTGGGCAAGTCTGCTCCAAGGAAGCTCAGTACAAAGCTATCGATTCCGCTAGGGCTCCGGCGGATCTCCTTCAGGAAGCCCTTGCGGGTGAAAACCTGGATTCGAAAATTGCCTCGGTCTGCCACAAGCACCTCTCCTTGGAGAGTGACATACAGACTGACGGGCAGATTGAACATCCCTGGCAGGCTTCCCTTGGAGCCCATCTTCTTGATGAAGTAACAGTGCTGGATGCTTGCAGCTGCTTCGGGCATCCTCGGCTTGGCTGGGGAGGAATTTGGCGTGCAGCTGGCTTCTTCTTGCACCAAGTCAGGCTCTCTAAATGATGCCGATGAGGATGCTGCAGTTTCCATAAGCGATTCTTCCAAGTTAACAGTCCGGGGTTTCTTCACCACCTGCCCAATCTGCAGTGGTCCCACATGGCTCACTTTGAGGAGTTCAACCTCGTGAAGTATCAGCTCTCCTGGGAGATTGTTTGTCAGTTCTGGTTCTTCCTCGTCTGCTGCATCCTCCAAGAGAGCTATATCTCCTTGCTTTATTTTGGCAAGGAAATAATCACAGCGAGACAATATCTGCACTTCTGCTAAGTTCAGCAGATAAGCTTGTTCCTCCATTACCTGATTATTTACCTTCTCCACTTCAGACAAAGAAGTGGTGAAGAACTTGCGTGACCTGGCCAGTTCTTCTTGGATCTTGCGCTCTTCTTTGCTGTAATCTTGCAGAACTGCTCTGTATCTAGATTGCAGATCACTAGAAACACTTTCCAGAGATGCTTTTCTTTTCTGCAGATCATCCATGAGCTCCCGAAGTCTGGCAAGCCTTGTCCCAAATTCCCTCCTACGCTCTTCAGCAGCCTCTTTGATAGCAATGACATTATGCCCTTGGGGCATGTGCGATGTCTCCTTGCACGGCTCACATAAAACCAAGCCACAACTCTTGCAAAAGTGTCTTGGCAACCTTCTCCCACAGACTTTGCACATGAGGAGACCAACCACTTCCCCCAGCCCTGTGGTGTCTATGATCTTCAGTACAGTAAGATTGTCAGTAAGCTGAGCTAAGGTTTTGATCCGAGTGATTTTGCTGCAGAAAGGGCAGCGTATCCCGTTAATGCTGGTTGCTAGGAGCTTCTCCAAGCACTGTTTGCAGATGGTGTGCCCACAGTGTAAGAGCTTGGGTCTCAGGTGCTCCTCAGTAAAGGACTCCATGCAAATGGGGCACTCCAGGACCTCTCGGAGTGCATCCGAGTTGAGCTGAGGGGCAGAAGCCATGGCTTTCTACAGCTTTAGCCAGTGCAGAATCTGGTACCTGCATGTATTCCAAGGTGCTCCAATTCTGTCCAGAAAGAAAAAAGAAAATGTGATTTATGTCATCAACAGCAGTTACATATACATGCAGTTTATTTCTGATTTATCTCCCAGATCCGGAAAACAGAAACCCAGTTGGCTTTTCCACATGTGAGAAGGGTAGATTTATCATCGCTAATCTCAGAGTGGGCAAATCCTAAAACTAACTTGCAGCTTCCAGTGCAATGAATTATTCACTTGCAAAATTTATAAGTAGAACTGAAAGAAGTGTAATGGCAGCAATAAGGAAGCCCAATATATATTGATGACTGAATCATCTCCTCATGGTGCCCATCTCCTGCTGCCAAGCCTGTGAGTTTACATAATTTACTCTGAAATCCAGAGAGATTAAACCAAGCGTTCAAATGTTGCGCATCAAAAGAGGAACCAGATGGTGCAATGCTTTAGGACATTAATATATCACCTCTGGAGACCTGCATTCAGATAAGACATCAGACATGAACAAAATAAATGCGGTTGGTTTAAACTGCTTTTCTAGAAAGCCAAAATAAATTTTCAAGGTTTCATATGTTTGCCAGGAGGTAATCCTAGAAGGAATGATTTGTCAGCTTCCACTCTCTCTGTGATTGACTGTTTATAGTGGAAACATGCGCCGATGTCTTTAAACCAGTGTACTTCATTAACCTCTGCCATGCTGCATCATGCAAATAAATACAGCTTGATGCAGCAGCGTTCTATCAGGTATTAGCAGAAATGGAGCTCCCAGACAACTCCAAATGCTTGATAATATAGACTGCGCGTGTTCACTCTCAGGTCTTGAACTTAGCTTAATTGCATGTAATTTCTCTATATTCCATAATCTTGTAGCACTGACTTCATTCTTGTATTTTGGTTCAGTTTTGTACCACCGTGGTTGCCATTCAACTTCAGTCCAGGCTTCTTCATCCTCACATCCCACGCAGCAGGGAGCAGATCCCAGCAGCTCCCTTGCTGAAGCAGCCATCCATTCAAAAGGAACAGAACAGGGTTCACATCATTAAGTTATTATTCAGCAGACTGAGTTTCAATACCTCTGCTACTGCATTGCTTAGCCGTTAAAAGAAATGGGGAGAAAACATTTCTTCTAGGGGGAGAGGAGGGGAAGGAAGTAGTTAGTCTTTAAAATGAAGAGCTGGTCACAGAGGGAAGCGAGCAGAAAGCTTTCTTCCCCATAATGGCTGCATGCACGCAGCACTCTTGCTTCCCCGCTGTGTTTCCCTGCTTCGCCCTCAGGAGCATTTCAGACAGAAAGGTTCAGTGTATTTCAGTTTAGCGTTTGCTCAAGTGGAAGGAGACAGCTGCAACGAAGAAAAGTTCTTTATGTTCATACAGAGGGAAAAAAAAAAAGATCTGAATTTATCAGCCATGCGGTCTTTTTAGCCCACGTTGCAGGGATGGGCGCTGCAGGATCTCCACCGGCGGGGTCCCAGGCTGGGAGCTGACCCCAAATGGGGGCACAGCCGCTGTCTGGCTCTCAGGTGGCACCACTGGAGCTCCACGGCACGCCACAGCCTTCCCTTTCCTGCTGAGCAGCACCTCAGCTGCAGAGAAAGGAGCCTGGGCACTGCTGTGCAGATCAGACACATTGCTCTGAGGGGTGGAGAGCCGTGTTTTAAAACAAGGTCTACAAATTAAGCATAGGATGCAGGATTCGTTACCGCTGTTTTGCTTGGCAGCACAGGAGGAGCTGCTGGGAAAGGCACCAGGCGAGGGGTTGCACAGGGAGCTGCCGTCAGATCGCGTTTTCATCAATGTAAAACGGAGCAAGGGCTTTTCTTTGGGTTTAACTCGGGCTCGGTTAGAAGGACGATTTGTGTGACGTTCTTTAAATACGCACAACTCTTCTATCGCTTCTATCGCATGCACAGCCCTCCTATCGCATGCACAGCCCTTCTATCGCATGCACAGCCCTCCTATCGCATGCACAGCCCTTCTATCGCACGCACGACCCTCCTATCGCACGCCAGCGCGCGTCTCAGCGCCGCGATGCCTTGGCAGCGCTGTGACCCCGCAGCTCTCCTCCCTCGGTCCTACCCCATGTCGGGCCGTTCCTCCCACACAGAAACCGGGAATCCCGGGGCTCGCCTGCCCGCGGGGCCGAGGCCTGGCCAGGCCCCGTGCGCGGCCCCGCAGCGCTGCGGAGCGCCGCCTCCCGCCCGGCCCGGCCGCGCTGCCCGCAGCGGCGCTGGTGCGGCCCCGTCGCTCGGTGCGGTGCTGGGGGTGCTGCCGCCCGCCCCGTCCCTCTCCGCCCCGCCTGTAGGGGGCGCCACGCGCCGCGGGGCCCGCTCTGCGCCTTACCTGCTCGCCGCTCCCGGGCCGCGCGCCGCTCCCCGGCATGCCCCGCGCCGCCGTCACGTGTGCTGCGCGGCGCGCGGCGCGCTGGGAGGTGGAGTCCTGAGGGGCGGCAGCGCCGGGAGCGGTCCGTGCTGTGCGGGCGGGGTGACGTGCCGCGTTTCTGTCAAAAAAACCCAAAACAAACAAACAAAAAAAAACAGCAGTCGAAATGTTTCTGTCAAGAAAAGTAAAAGCCTTTATTTTTTTTCTCCCTCATCTTATTATGCAGCATTTTGTGCTGAGGTCCCTACGCGGGTCACAGAGTCACAGAACCGCGGTGATGGAAACATGGAAAACGCCCTTAGTGGGAAAGGACCCCACAGCTCCACACAGCACCAACCCTATTCTGACAGCCAGCCCTGGGGGCCGTGCCCACCTCCCTGTGGGGCACAGCCTTTCCCCAGCCCCACCTTACCCTCCTGATGGAGCTCCATGCCATCAGGCCCTGCTGCTGTCACCAGAGAGCAGAGCTGAGTGTTGCTCCTTATGGCAGCTCTGCAGGCTGCCATGAGGGGCTAAAGGCCTTATGAGGGGCTGCAGGCTGCTATGAGGGGCTGCAGGCCACCATGAGGGACTGAAGGCCGCCATGAAGGACTGAAGGCCATCATGAAGCGCTGAGGGCCTTATGAGGGGTTGCAGGCTGCCATGAGGGGCTGCAGGCTGCCATGAGGGACTGAAGGCCACCATGAGGGACTGAAGGCCACCATGAGGGGCTGAAGGCCATCATGAGGGGCTGCAGGCTTCCATGAAGGACTGAAGGCCATCATGAAGGGCTGAGGGCCTTATGAGGGGCTGCAGGCTGCCATGAGGGACTGAAGGCCATCATGAGGGGCTGCAGGATGCCATGAGGGGCTGAAGGCTGCCATGATGAGCTACAGGCAACCATGAAGGAGCTGCAGGCTGCTGTCATGTCATGGTTACCACGTGGTATGAGGCCACAGCCTTCCTTTGGTCCCACCTCATGTCAGGGCAGCCCAGTGCCGTGGTCGAGTTTTGCTCGCACGCCTTGTGTTGCCTCAGGCCACAGATCTGTTTTTCTTCACTACAAAGCAGCCTGCAGACTCCCAGCACAAAACTGCCTATTTTTAGTTGCAGAATGGCAAATGCAATCAGTTGATTGGGCAGTGCACAAAATATCACCAATGAATAGGTGTGCAGCTGCGGTCACTTATTCAAGGACTCACACAAGGCATGTCCTGCTTGGCATTCATTCCTTCCTGTAGTAGCCTGGATCCTGGGGGAAGTGGCTGGGAGTGGTGAAGCTGCAGTAGTGAAAAAAAAAGGGTTGTGGGGAATTGTGCTTCCCCTCAGCCAGGGGAGAGCATGCTTTGCCTTGTTCTTGGAGTGAGAGATGGGCGTTGCGGGCTCTGTGCTGTGTTTTAGGGACTCAGTTGGTGAGTCAAGATTAAAAGAGCGGAGATGGATGAGGTAGAGAAGGCGTGTTGGAGGATGGAGCACTGTGAAAAGAGGCATGCTGTTGAGGTACCTCCCTCCTCTTCCTTCTTTTCTGCCACACCATGCCGAGAACAGATAGAGCTTACAGCAAAACCTGTGGCCATTACTTTCCTTTTTATGTGTTGTAACACCTGGGTGCCTCAGAGGAAAACAGAATTGCTTGGCAGTGTCTTTTCCATAGTGTGTCAGTGAAGCTGCTGAACACCACTGCTTCCCTGGTCAGGACTTGACAGGTGGGCTGGTCACCATTCAGTCCCAGTACAGGTGGGATGTGATGGGTGGCCTTTCTGAGCTGCAGTCCCGGTCCATGGGGTGGTTTGGGGTGGGAAGCTGGTGGGACCGTGTCCCTGAATATGTTATGCAGGATTCTTGCAAAGTGCAGCTTTCTGCTTCCCAGCAGGCCTCTAAAGGACATTGCTGCATAGGTAGGGTGGAGGCTGCTGTTTGTGAAGCTCTCTGTAAACAATAAAAAGAGAAGGCAGCATAGCTTTCTGTGTGAACTCCTGTAACATCCGTCACGTCCGTGCCCAGCCCTCCATCTTTCCATCATTCTATTTAGCAGTCTGGGTTGCTGCAGTGGAAATGCATGCTGTGCACTGGGGCTGGCCCTGTAACCCGTCCCAAACGCAAGGAAGAGTAGAACCATCTTGGAGGCAGCTCCTGCCACCACCTTCTTGCTCTACAGATTTTAAGTGGCTCACAGCACGTGTGCTTGCTCAGATCCATCCCTCTGCTGCTCATGCCTGGAAGTAGAAGAGGGTGGTTCTATCATACAGGCACAGGACTAATGAGCAAAGTCATTAATCATATAATCAGTCATTTTCCTCCTGCCTCTTCCCTCCTCCTCTCCATCCCTCTGACCTTTCTATCTGGCCTTTCTTCTCCCATCTGATGGGTTCTGCTGGCTGTAATCAGAGGTGGAATTTAGCAACCAGACTGTATCTGATAGGAATGTGTAGGTTTGGGGCATCCTCTGTGGGAGCACAGGTGGATAATTGTGGCATGGAGAAATTCCATCTGTGGAAGAAGCGAGCTGTCAGTTCGGCTATTTGCCATGATTGCTGTTTGCAGCCTCCCTGTGCATGGAGAGGATGGCACAGGCTGTGCCATGCCGGCAGCCACGGGGCTGTGCCCAGCCCTTGTTCTGGAAACCACAGTGCATCCTCCTTGTACTTTCTTCACTTGAGCAGCAACTGGGAAACAGCAGAGATAGCAGTGCAGGCAGTGAAGGCACTTGGAAGCAGAGCAGATGCAAACCTGAACTTGACTCACAAAGGAAAATGAATGAGATTTATGTTTGCATGCTTTTGTGCTGTGCTGCAGGCCCTCAGTGACAAACCTCAGCATGAACCTGCTGAACTCCAGTGTGTCACTGGGGTGAAGTGAGCACGAGGAAGGGATGTGGGGTTTGCTCCCACCTCCCAGGGCTGCCTGGTGGTGCAGATGGGGACAGATTGGATGCAGCAATTGTGGGTCTGGGTGCAGCAAGTTCTGTCTGGACCTTTGGGAAGTGCATCACATGAGACTCGTTCAAACGTAGTCTGGAAGAATCTCTGGACACCGGGCTTACATTGGTGCTAATCGAGCCATATGTTGGCTGCAAGCAGCAGTCAGAGCCAGGTGCTCAGAGGGATGCTGATGTTGGGACCAAATTTGGGTGGTCAGCCAGCACTGCTGGGGTGATGTGAGGCCGTGTGGGTACGGTGGGGTGGAATGGGGTCACGGCCACCGCGATAACACGCTCTGCCATTCAGGAAAGCTCCCGTGGGGTGACAGGGTGTGATCCCCACCCGTGGGTCTCCCCGGAGGGTGAGGGCTGGTGCCTGCCGTCCTGCTCCGTGCCACCAGAGGGCAGCAGGTCCTCGCGGAGCTCCGGCCACCGCTGTCCCGCGGGGATGGGGACAGCAGCCCGGCGCCATGGGGTTCCCACGGGCACTCGCCAGCAGCAGCGGGGCCGCCCTCGTGTGCTGCTTCCCTGCTGGACGGACTGTGCTGATGCTCAGACCTCAGCTGCAGGATGCCGTGCCACGGGGCGGCTGCATGGCCTGAAAGATGAGGAGCAGCTCCCACAAGGTGGGGAGTGGTTTCTCAGGGATCCCTTGCTCCTCACAGCCCGTGCATGTGCACAGTGCACGCAGGCACTGCTGTCTGCTTGGGGTTCAGCTGTTACAGCGTGCCCTGCCTGGCAGCAGAGACTGGTGCTGTGCTTCTTGTGTGATGCAGTGCGGTGCTGCATCCCCCGACATCACACCCACTCCCTCCTTGCAGTGCCCATCACTAGCATTGGGCAGCCATAAAGCTGGCTGAGTTCCTCACAGACCTGTTGGATCCTGCAATGACAATTACTCACTGCAAGAGAAATTCCCAGGCAAACACAGCTATTGATTTTCTTTCTAGCTCCCTTTCGATGGATTTGCCGACAAACAGGTTGTTTTTCTATCCAGTAACAAACCAGCAGCCTGTGCCAGTGAATCTGTATCGGCCATAAATCCCAGCACCCTGCCCATGGCAGCAAGGCTGCACAACCAGGGGGAGGTGGAAGGGACAGGTGGAGCAGAAATAACTCAGCCTTGTTGGGAAATGCAAAGCCCAGCTACCAGCTTAGTCCTGGCAGAGCATCCTGTTGGTGTCAGTGGGGTAACTTAGCAGTATGCCTACCAGGATCTGCACTGTAAATTCTCTGTACAGCTTCAGCTTGTTCTGAGCTTTTCTGCTGTTGAAGAGCTGCCACATCCTTCTCCTGATTCTTCTTGTGGGAAGCCTGGTGATCCCCAGTTCTGGAATGACCTGGGATCTTTTGTCAAAGTGCAGTATAGAGTGCTGGACCACTAGCAAAACCTGCGCCTCCTGGGAGCTCTCAAAGCAAAGCAACACTGCAGTACAAAAGAATTATGTGTTGTATTTGATTTTTGCTCTAGTAGTGTTGTCGTGCTTCCCTCTGGTCTAAGCACTAGGAGGTGCTGCTGTTAATGCTGTGAGCACTTCCCCATCCCTGTAGCTGAGTCCTGGTGGAGCGCAGGGGCAGAGCTGTGCACTGGAGCCGGTGATCAGAACTCTGCACGCTCTGTGCTACTCGCCCTCCTTTCTTACACAAGGTTTGACACTTAGCGGAAGGCTATTTTATTTGTTGTGCTGCTGTTGTTTCTTTTTCTAAATACATATTTCAAGCAAACAAACAAACTAATAGATCCCACAAGTCGCCGTGATGCGTCTAACCACATCCGCAGCGCTGTGCTTCCAAACAGATGTTGCCAGGACTCCCTGAGCTGCCAGCAGCATTAGTGAAAGCATGTTCAGATCCAGGGGCTGATAAGGAATGCCCCTGCCCTCCCTTCCCTGCGCTGTTGAGCCTTGCCATCCTGCAGACTGGGTCTGGGCAGCACCCATTGCAGTCACCTGCAAGGCCCACCCCTGAGAACAGGGCTTTGGAAGAGCGATCTGAGTGCTCCAGGAGGTTACCCAGTCATCACGGGGCTTATGCAATGTGGACCTAAGCAATGAAGGTGAATAAAGTTATTCAGGACTTAGCCCAGCTTGCAGTGAAGACAGCAGGAGTATTTCTGTTGGCTTCACTGGTAACTGGGGATGGCATTTTAGTGTTATGTTTTGGAGACTGGTCCTGATTCTCTCTAACCCAACAGCAGAACCTTCCCTTGACTTCATCAGGAGTAGAATTGGGCCGTAGGTTTTTGAGCCTAAGAAGAAGCCAGCAAGCTGGGTGTCAGCAAGAAGGCAGTAAAAGCCAGAGCAATCCTCCAGCGGTGTGTGGGGCTTCTGCAGCTCCTTGTCGGGTTTCTTTGTGAGGAGTGGATCCGTGCATGCAGGCAGCCTGGCAGATACCTCAAAGCCATCTCTGAGGGACAGGAGAGGGAGGCACAGGGACCCTTCAGCTCTTCTTTGCTTTAAGTTGCAGTGGCAGGTCCAGGAATAATCTCATATGTGTGAAGGGAAAATATCTCCCAGATTTCAGTAACCTAATTTTGTTAGGACTGTACTTAAGCCCCTAAAGCTCATTCCACAAAAGCTACCAAGGATTGCACTCCAGTGCTGATGACTTCCAAGACTTGTCTGGATGAGAGCTGGTGATTTGGCAGTGAAGCCTATTTCCTTCTGCTGAGCCATGTCCTATTTCATTTTCCTTATTTGGAGTTGTACCCAGAGCCTTTTTGGTACAAGGGAGCACGATGAATTAGTTCCCAGCACACCGAACTGCTCACTTCAGCTGCAGTAACCCCTTACGTCCCCAGGAACCCAATCTACAAAGCACTCCTTTTCCCCTTAGTGACTGGAGCTTCAACTGCAATAAAGAGGATTAAATGCAGACACCCGTTTCCACCTTAGCTATGAAGTCTGCAGTGCTGACAAGTCTGCCATGAGTAACCTGGCTCCACGATCAATCTTCTGTGGCTGAGAGCATGGCTGCTCTGCGAGGGGAGCTGTGCTGTGCACACAGCCTCCCTGATCAGCTGCTGGTTTTCTACCTTTTTTTTTGCAGACCTCTACTTTTCCACCATGCAGCTCCATTTGGTGACTGCTGCTCCTGAAATGGCTTTACCCAACCTGTGTTTCCATTGAGCCCTCACCTTCCTGCCAGCCTCTTTGGGGAGCTCTTTAAGCCACCACGTCCACCACGCTGGCCTCAGCACTGTTTTCTGGGAGCGATGGACAAACAAGGGGTCTGGAAGTGCAGGACATGCTGGACGAGCTCGCATTCAGGCTTCCCTTGGAGTTAACTCTCTCCTTGCTCAGGGTTATTTTGCCCATTCCAGAGGCAGCTGGCAGCTGGGGAGGTCAAAGGGAGGCTGCTCTTCCTGCTTCTCCATCCCAGTCCACACACCTGATTTGTACACCTGAGAGCAGAAACACCATGTGCAAATGTATTGTGTGCCCCATGCTTGGAAGTAGAGGAGACACTGGCTGCAAAGCACAGAGCAGGGAGCTTAGGCACCTCAAGTAAAGCAGTCACATGTGGTGCTCCAGCAACTTGGCCATGCTACATGGCAAGCCAATAGGTGCCAGCACTTTATAGCTGTCGAGAGAACAATTCAGGAAGGAAGGTCTGATATCCTATTGCCAATTAAGAGATAAGTGATTCCACTTTCTCTTCTGTTATGTTATCATGTTCTTCCTTAGAGCATGTCTCAAAATTGCTTCCCCTGGAAGATCTCTGAAATAACTGCTTGACCTCTGGTGAATCAGCTTTGCAGCCCAGAACAGTCAGTGTCATCTCCTTTTTCTAAATGTGGTTTAGTACTGTGTTAAAACCCGTGTTAGCATTATCCAGAAGCAGGAAGAGGCTCATGACTTCTCCTCACAGCTCTCCTCTTTGTGAGCCATCCAGTTGAGCACAGTTTGATGGCTTATAAAGCTTGAAGTTGCCTGGAGCCAATCTCCCAGAAAATAATCTGTCCCAGGACCAGCTCTGAGGCTCTTTTTTCATGTCTGTACACCAACGTCTCCCTAAATACTGAGACACCTCCTTCACAGCTTTGTTTTAGTTTATCTTAGCAACTGTCCTCCTCTAATTCTACCAAAGATGAGTTGGTTGGAATTTGCTCCTTCTTCCCATGGCTGCTTTGATCCAGTGCATGTGAGTGTTCTCTGACAGCCAGACAGAAGGGGAGGGGCTGTCCCTAGCCTGAAGGGCTTCAAGAATAGTGAATGAATACTGTGTTTGTATTTCTAATTGATGAAGTGCTTTGCCAAATCAGCTGCATGTTGGTACAAGCCAAGGTATTAAGACAAAGCTCATTCCTGTGCAGTTCCTTCTTGGGATGGGGAAGCTGTTGCTGAAGGCGACAGCTGCCTCCTTGTCCAGTGCATGGTGTTGGGTGTGCTACTTAGGCACAGGAAGAGCACGGTAGGCTTCTGTAGGCCCATCTCCAGGCTATGAAGGTCAGCTCTCCTTCTTGAGTCAACCCAAGAGGAGATTCTACAATTACAGTTTCAATAGCGGTGTACAGCACCAAGATGGGAATCTTGACTCCTCTTGCCAGGTACCTCCAGATGCAATGCTTTCCTGGTTACCTTAGCAGGCATTCAGGCCAAGGCAAAAGAAAGTCAGGCTCTGTGAGTTTGTCTCCTTGTGGTTTAGACCACTGGTAAGTTTCACGCTGGGTTTCAAAGTCCTGAATAGTTCCCAGAAACAGCACCTTCACAGCTTGGTGTTGGAAATAACTCTGCCTGTTCCCCCTGCGGTGAGATTGTTCTGTCACTTACCTCCTTGCCATGGGTGTTCATCCTACACTGAGTCCATTTGCCTGTGTGCTTCAGTTCTCAGTGCCCTGGCTTATGTGTCACCCAAACGAGGGAGCAAAGGACTGCAGGCACTGGAGGGAACTGGTGCTAGGGCAGGGCGAGGACACCTGTCACATCTCCTTTGAAGAAGGTTCTCCTTGACAGGAAAGATATTCTTAGGTAGTTTTGTTTCATTTCAAAGTGTAGAAAGTGAAGACACAAGCCACAAAAAAGAGGAAAGAGAACACAGTCAGTTTCATCACTCTGGAAGTGTTTGGCTGGAAATGCTCTCACTTTCTACCTACCTGCAAGTCCTGGTTTTCTCCTCTCCTTGACCTTTCTGGTTTCCTGCTCCCACCTGGCCCATATCTTCAGCAGCTGCATTTACCCTCACTGCAGTGAAGTTTGGGTTTGGGGAAAGGACTGCACTGTGATTTGTTTAATGCTGTTTATTTTCTTTCTAAACCAGAAACAACTGAGCTGGGGAACAAAAAGGAATTGAAATCCATGCCGTTCATCACCTATCTCTCGGGCTTGCTGACAGCACAGATGCTTTCTGACGACCACCTCATCTCAGGTGTGGAGATCCACTGTGAGGAGAAAGGGCGCTGCCCATCCACGTGCCACTTGTGCCGGCGCCCAGGCAAGGAGCAGCTCAGCCCCACGCCGGTCCTGCTGGAGATCAACCGTGTGGTGCCCCTGTATGCCCTGATCCAGGACAACGACACCAGGGAGGTGAGTGAGCTGGAGAGGGACTGCTGTAAACCTTCCAGTCACCACCTCTTCGGCTTCCCTTCCTTAGTCTTAGTGGGCCAGAACCGACTGTTCAGATCAACAAGGCTCTGTTGAGTTTGCACTTCAAGTGTAGCATTCAGTTTTGTGCCCCTTGCTACAAGAAAGACATTGAGGTGCTAGGGCACGTCCCAAGAAGCTGATGATGGGCCTAGAGAGCAAGTGTTATGGGGAGCAGCTGAGGGAACTGGGATTGCTCAGAGGGGAAGAGGAGGCTCAGTGGAGATCTCATTGCTCTCTACAACTGCCTGATTGGAGGTTGTGTTAAGGTGTAGATTGGTCTCTTCTCCCAAGCAACAACTGCTTGGGCACTGTAGTGTTCAAGAAGAACAAGCATTGGGTTCTGCAGTTCAGTAACAACAACCCCATGCATCATTATAGGCTTGGGGCAGTGTCTAAAAAGCTGTATGGAGGAGAAGGACCTGGGGGTGTTGGTCAGTGCTTGGCTGAATGTGAATCAGCAGTGTGCTCAGGTGGCCAAGAAGGCCAAGGGCATCCTGGCTTGTGTCAGCAGCAGTGTAGCCAGCAGGACAGGGATGTGATCATATCTCTGTACTGGCACTGGTAGGGCCATGCTTGGAGGACTGTATTCAGTTTTGGGCCTCTCGCTGCAAGACAGGTATTAAGGCCCTGGAATGCATCCAGAGATGAGCAGTGGATCTGTGAGGGGTCTGGAGCACAAATGTGATCGAGAGTGATTGTGGGAACTGAGATGGCTCAGTTCAGAGAAGAAGCTCGGGGGAGACCTTACTACTCTCTACAAATAACTGAAAGGAAGTTGTGGCAAGGAGGGGTCAGCCTCTGCTCCTGGGTAACAGCAATGGGATGAGAGGCAGTGGCCTTACGTTGTGTCAGAAGAAGTTTGGATTGGATATTAAGAAGAATTTCTTCCCAGAAAGAGTGATAATGCATTGGAACAGGCTGCCTATGGAGGTGATAGATTCACTGACCCTGGAGGTGTCTAAGGAAAGGGTAGATGTAGCAATTAGGGACATGATTTAGTGGGTAATATTGGTGGTAGGTGGATGGTTGGACTAGATCTTTGAGGTCTTTTCCAGCCATAATGATTAGTGATGGTATGATGAGAGGAAATGGCCTCAGATTGCACCAGGAGAGTTTATATTGGATATTAGGAAACATTTCTTTACAGAGAGGGCTTTGGAGTAGCATCAGGGTAGTGCTAGAGCTGATGTCCTGGTGCCACCCCAGCCCTCACAAATGTGCATCTCTGTGCCTGCATTGCATCAATAGCAATACTATGAGCTGGTGCTGTAGGTATTCCTTTTGCCCCTCAGATCTCAGTAGCTTGGCCTCAAGCCCCTGTTTCCTCTGGGATGTGCTGTGTCAGGAAAGCCCAAAGCCCTGCCAGGCTCTGCACAGCACAAGTGCAGAGGGATAAGCAGCCCCTCGGGACAGGCCCGCAGCCACAGGAGGTCACTGTTACTCCAGGAGGGACTAGCAGAGCTGGAGGTGACCCTTCGTTGTGTCTCGGCTCCTTTTCCTCCTGTGAGAGGTCCAGTGTTAATCATTTGTAGATTTATTTTCCACTTTCTCTGTTCCCTGCAAGCCCCCACTTCTCTGTGCAGCCCCCTAACCCCAAACCCAGAAATGACAGACCTGCTTAAAGTCACTTATTAGCACTGAGCCTGCACTTGATTAAGATGCTTGGAGAGAGCCAGCGTGCAGCAGCTGTGGGTGGGACAGAGAGGGCTGCAGGTCTGGAAACAATCCTGGCAAATAAAGGTGTGACCACCAAGAATGATACTTCCCCTCCACACTCCCCTCCACACTCCCCCACACTCCATGGGCAAAAGAGCTCCCATTCTTTTGCTGGCACCCAAGTCCCTAAGGACAGTCCTTTCTTGTCTACCCCTTGATCTTGTTCCTGCTCTTCCATCTATTAACCCCCCCCTGCTTCTTCCATACAGCCATACCTGACTTCCCTAATTCTGTTCCTCTGTCCTTTGAGTATTCCCCAGACACCCTTTCTCCTCTCCTCATGCTTTTCCCATTTGTCTTCTCCTTTCCCCTGTTCCACTTTCACTTGAGGAGCTCTCCATAGCCTGCTCAGGATGGTCCCCCCGCTCCCCGACCATGGCCACACTGGTGCTCCTCCAGTTCTTCCAGCAGCCTTATCTTGCTGCCTTCCAGATCTCCAGAGACCTGGCATGGCTGCATCCACAGCAAGGACAAGTCATTCCTTTCTCTTTGCAAACAGAGCAGTTATTTCTGCAGAGTCAGAGCACCCACTCTGACTGTTCTCAGTGCCAGCTCCCCTTCCCAGCCCCTCTCCCAAATGGCACTGCCACCCTGCCATGGCTGGAAGGTATTCTTCTTGTTCTGGGGAGCCAGAGCTGCCTGTCTCCAGCAGCAGCCTCCTCCTCCTGCCCTGGCTCACTGGAGAGCTGCTCCCATCAGCTGCAGCTGGAGGACAGCCTGCATTGTGCTTTCTGCTGAGGCGCTGGGGAAAAAAAACAAACAGACAAACAAAACCCTGAAGATGCAGCCAAACAAGGGAAGTCCTGGCCATCTTCTAGAGGGCTGTGCTAGCCCAGTGCCTGCTGTCCATTGCTGCAGAAGGAGGTGCTGTGCAAAGTTGCAGTGCCTGCCCAGAGCCTTACTAGCTAGGGCTGTGCTGTGGGTAGAGCCTCACCAGGCTCACTGATGGAGATAGATCTGAGATCTGTAGATAGAGAGCTCAGGAGAAGCTAGGAGGCTGTGTGCTGTTAGAGGCCACCAACTCTATAGTGCCAACATGATGTAAAGCCATTCATTTATATTTCTTCCTTGGTTTGTGGCTGGGAATCAGTGCTCAAGGGGTGTGTGCTGCAAGCAGCACCCGATACAAGGTCTGGATAGTGAAACATCCTTTTTCAGCATCAGTTTGAAGGCTGGGGGTGGTCCCAGGCACTAGGAGAGTGATATTTGCCTGTGGCATAAACAAGATGTGGAAATGTCTGGGATGAGCACTTGGATAATACAGTTTGGGGCAGGGGAAGTTCCCTTTGTCTAGGGAGGTGGCTGTTGTGGTGGCAGTCTGGGGACATGGCTTGCACAGCCACCTCCCTTCCCTACCCACTGCATACAGCAGCTGCTCCCCTGCCTGCTGTCCCCATTTGTGTGTGTAATAATCCATGAAGCAAATGCTGACTGTATGGGGACTGCAAGCAGATCCCAATTCCTTCATAGTATTAAAAAAAAAAGATAAACAATGAAGACCTTTCTCTTCTTGTGTACTTATACATAGCTAACTATGGATGTGTATAGGAGGAAGGTAAGGCCATTGATAGCATGGATGCAACATCTATCATGTTCCCTGGAAACTTTCCATTGTAGGCCTAGCAGCAAGAATACAGGTAAGATATAGGTTAAGAAATTTTGCCCGCAGTTTTTAGGAGGTGTCTTTTCATCTACCTCAATAAAGGGAGCTATGCATTCTTTAATATCTGCAGCTACCACACGTACAGGCCTTGTTCTGAGTTTCTGATGACCTTGCCAGACTTTTAAGTGCTGGGTTTATGTTTCCAGGTGGAGCATCTGTCTGCCTTGGGCTGATTTGTGATTTTTGTATGTGTGTATATTTGATTTCAGCTAAAACTGACCATTTGCAAGAGAGAGATTAGGTGAAAATATATTGCTTTGCCCATATGAAATAAGTTGGAGAACTATTTCCATGTCACTGAGACTGGCTATTTTCTTCTCGTCTCAAAGCAGGGGCTTGGAATTTAGAAGAGATCCAGAAGTCAGGTTTTGCCTTTTGCTGCCTAGGGAATGTTTGTCCAAGGCTGTTTGTGCTGTAAGTTCCCAGCTGTGGATGCTCAGCAGGAGTTTTGGTTTATGGTTGCAGTGCTGTTCAAAGCCTCTCGTCAGCCCCCAGCAGTGTAAATGTGCATGAGCAGTTCCACAACTGTCTGGTGCTGCTGCACCAGCTGGTCCTGGCCAAGCACTGCTTCCAGCACCAAAGGGATGGGCTCACTGGGGGCCCCGGGCTGGGTGTTGTGTGACAGCCCCTCTTTTCCTCCTGGTGTGCAGTGAAAGCTTTACAGACTGAGCCTCTGTGAGGGATTCGCCTCTGTGGTTCAACATTGTTAGTCAGAGAGCTGGTGCAGCCACTGGGTATACCCAGGGGCTGTGCTGGAGCAGGGGATGTCCCAGGCTGTTCCTGCCATCCTAGGACATATGGCATTTCTCCTTTTGCAAGTGTTTTCTAGGACAATCTCAGCTGCCCCCTTCCAGGAGCTCAGAGCGCTTGGGGAGGGAGGCAAAAATAGACAAGGGTCAAGGAAGTACTAAATCCAGGTACCTTCTGAAGGGCTTTGTTGGATGGTGAGATCAGATGAACACAGGTTGGTTTCTGGCACCATTGCCATTGCAGAACCACTCCCTTCAGTCTACACACTGATGCTCAGGAGGTGTGACCTTGGCAGTGGCTGCACCTGAGGTCTCTGGATCCTGCATCATGTTTCAGCTGGTGGACACTCTCTAATTCCATGTCTCTTGTGCTCTGTAGCAGGCACCAGTTTGTGGCAAAGCAATGATCCCTGCACTGCCACATCCAGATGAAGTTGAAGGAGATTCTTCACAGCAGGGTTGTGGAAGAAAGCTTACGTCATGTCAATGGCTGCATGGTTTTCCTCTAGTGAATTTCCTGAAGCCAGAGGAGAGCAGAACCACACATCATCATAGTGCCAGGGGATGGTGGCCTTCTTCCTCCTCACTGCCCCATCAAAACCTCCCTGCCTGCCTCAACCCATGGGATGGTGAAGGCAGTTCTTCCTGCCCCAGAGCATCTCCTGTCCAGCAGCACACTGAGGAGCGGGAGGTGGAGAGCGCACTTTTCTCCTTCCTTCCTCTCCTCTGAAACAAACACAGAAGCCCCACAGCTCACACAGAGCAGCTGCAGAAGTGCTTAGAGGGTGGCAGGCAGGAGAGATTAATCCCACCTCTCATGGGAAATGGGCTTGAAACTCCATTGCTTGTTATGCAAGGAGACAAATGGACGTTGAGCTTGGATTTTAGAAGACCCCTAGGACCTTTACTTAATCTGCAAATGGTGTAATTTCATCATTAATCTGCAGACGTAGCCTTCCCACAGCACACCCAGCCCAGTGGAGACAGCAAACTGTCCAGAACAGGAGCATGGGTGGTGGTGATGGTGTGGCAGCAGTTTCAGGGCACTGTGGAGACAGTGTCCCAGTTCCTCCATGCTCATACCGGAGACACACTTTGCTCTGTTGGTTGTATCTCAGCAGCAGTGCAAAGCACAGATAACAGGTTTTGTTATCTCCTGTTAGTGGTGTTTGGTCAGATCTCAGGGTCAGGGTTATGTTGCACTTGCTGCTGGTGTGTGATGGGGCCATGTATTGGGAACACTTCTGAGCACTTCAGCCAGCACTCAACTACCAGGACAAGCTAAGCACATCATGTGGTGAAACATCCCTTGTCCCTGTTGTCACCACCCACCACCAGGGCAGTGGGAAGCCCACACTGATTTATGCAGTGCTGTCTCTCCAAGTGCTGAGCAAGGAGCTTTCTGCGTGTCCCTGTAATGGGGACAGTGCCCTCCAAGGGCAGAGCAGGGGAAGTGCCCTGGCAGCACAGATCCTTCCCTGCCTTTCCCCGGAGCAGCCTCAAAAGGCATGGGGATCTGGTGCCAGTGATTGCTTTTTCCACTGCCAAATCTGAAAGGGAGCCAGGGCGAGCGGGGACAGTGTTTGAATTGTTGAGGTGCAATTTATTTTTGTTGCTTTGGTCTGGATTTTGTTGTTGTTGCTTTATTTTCATATCTGTTAATGGGCAGTTGTCCTCCTCACGCCAAAGCCCAGTACTTGTGCATCCCAATGCAGCCCTACCCCACATCCAACTCATGTTAGCTGGGGGAAGAATAGAGGCATTGTAACCACCTGACTGTGCTGACAGGGAGCTCTGGAGCCGAGGTGTGAAAGTGGAGCTCTCTGGGCCGGGATGCTCCCTGCACCACCAGGTTTCAGTGTCCTCTGCTGCTCTCTCGCTTCCCATAAATAACAGAATCCAGGATGCTGCCCGCCCTGGGTCCCTGCCAGTGCCCTGACCTTTCTGGCGGACGCTTCCTGGGATGAGGTGATGCTGCTCTCTGGGGACAGGCAGCAGGGTGGGAGCGGCGCAGATGAGATCAGCTGCCAGCAGCAGCAGCGGGGAAACTTCATCCTCCTTTGCTGCAAACCTGGAGCAGACATTCAGACGCGAGCTGCGTGATCCTGGAAAGAGTCTCTGGCCTGGGAAATCCTTCATTTTCCTCCTCATTTTTGTTTTTCTTTCCTCTTCCTAGAGATGTCTAGACTGCTAAGGAGTGGCATTTATCTCCTCAGCATTAAGCCTCAGCATAAGGGCATGGAAAGCTTTTCTTCCAGCCACCCTCTCATCATAGTGTCCCGTTCTGCCTGCATCCCACACTCTTATCCCCCTTGGTGGCGCTTAGTGCAGCTGGGCCAGGTGCTCATCAGCCATGGAGATGACTGGATCTCCAAAGCCAGCTCAGCACCAGCACACACGCCTTGCAGTGCCCCACCTAGAAGCAGCAGCCTCTGTGCTGATTCCTGCCAATGCTGCTCTGCAGTGTTCTTCCGTGTCCTGTAATTTTTCTCTCTGGGGATGTCAACAGAAAACCCACAGTCAGGAAGAACTCGATGCTTCTCCCTCCATCAGCCAGGTCTAACAGAGGACAAAGAGGAAATGTTCTTCTCTGTTCGCTGCAGAGCATCTGAGCTATAAAACGGGGCCAAATGGCCTCCCCCTGAGCACAAATAACAACAGGAGAAAGATCCATATGCAATCGAGTGTGGGATAAATGTGCTTAGCTGATCATTCATTTCCTTAATATTTTTTTTATGAATAGGCTTAGCTTATGGTAAGATGGGACTTTATGGTCCTGTAAGTCTTGCTCGTGTCAAAACAAATGAACTAGCCATCCTACGGGGGAACTATCAATCCAGTATATGTGTGTGTATGGGTGTGGGGAGTCAGACCTATTATACCTTTAAGAGCAAATTAGATGCTGTTCCTATGATTCATAATGCTATATATCTAATGGCATGACTCGTCATCTAGAAAATAAATGTTTCGAGCCAGTTTCTCATCTCATAAATTTCCCCTCTGGCACTGAAGGACATAAACTAAATGGGCTGACTCACAGGGAAACAATACAATTTGGATACTTGTAAATGAAAGATAGAATTGCTGTAGGGCATGGGGGGCAGAGAGGGGCTGGGGAGCAGCAGGCAGGAATGGGGCATGGTCACCATCACCTTCAGTGGGCACTGCTGGTGCTGGGAAGCCCTTCCTACTCACAGAATCCAATGGTTTGCCTCTGCTGGCTGCCTTGGTGTGATCACTGTGGCTGACCATCCTGCCCAGAGAGGTGGTGGTGCCCCATCCCTGCAGACAGCCAAGGTCAGGCTGGTTGGGGCACTGAGCACTGATGGAGCTGTGAGAGTCCCTGCATTGCAGTGAGTGGGACCAGATGGCCTTTAAGGGTCACTTTCAACTGAAGTAGTTCTATGATTTTGCATGACCTTACCTATTTTCTCCATCTGTTTGCTCCTGCTGCTTCCCCACCCTTCCACGCAGGAAAGTCCCAAACCTTCTGGCCAGACTCCCTGCTCTGACTGGTGGGGGAGGCTCTCTGTGTCCATCAGCCCCTGCTTCTCCCATAGCAAACTTCAGGCAGTGGGACGCTGCAGCCCTGCTGCTGTGTGTAGGTGTGCTGCCCTAATGAGCACAATTGAAGGACGCATCGATCTGCTAACCTCGTTTGCACAAAGGTTGACACAAGGCAGATGATGGCTGCGTACCTGCAGGATCTAATTAACGTGGGGTAAGGCCGGGCAGGCGCAGCGGATTGCTCATCCAGCATGGTGCTTAGCATCACAAAAATAGAAAGCAGAAGGGGAGCACTGACTGGTGAGTTTGGTGGAAGGGTATGAATGAGGAGGTGGGATTTCTTCCCTGCCGGTTGTGTGGAGTTGGTGGGCAGGGAGGGAGCAGGCTGGGGGCAGTGTGACAGCAGTGACATGGGGCTGGGGTGCCTCTGCAGCCCCTGTGTTCTCCCATTGGGGCTGTGGTGCTTCATCCTGCACAGCCCCAGCAATCCCTGCAGCCACGCACCCACATTTATCCATGTGCTCAATAAACTCTTTTCTGTCCTCTCTGCTCTCCTGTTACATTGAGGTGCCCTTTCTCACCCAGTGCCATAATTACATTCTAAAGAACAAAATCAGGTCACATTTTCTCTTTCAGTGTTTTTTTTTCTTCCTTCCCTCCCCCCCTCCCCCCTTTCTGGAACAGTGCTGTTCTGTAAATGTCTGCAAGCAGAAGGATTGCAGAGGCAGGCACCTCGCTCAAGGTGCTGCTGTGTTTGGGGAGAGCGACACAGCCCCAAACAATAGCAGCCTGACGTCAGGCTCTATTTATACCTCATCTTTTCACTAATGTCCCTGGGACAGAGCTTTTCCTACAGTTCTCTGCTAAATGCCACAGCACTGCAGCTGTCCCTGTCCCCTCTAAGGGCGAGTTTTATCTTGGAGACATGAGCTGGGGTGTGAGCAGTATCAGCAGGGCCAGACATCCTCAGGCTGTGGGGTGTGGGCTGAGCCCGGGCATGGGCAGGGCATTGAGGGCACTATGCCCTGAAATGCACCAAGAGACTGAAAGTGTTGCAGATATGTTTGTTTCATGGTGGCTGTTGTAGCAGTCTGTCGTGCCTCTGGCTGTGTTTGTGCACAGGAGGAGGTGCTGTGGTGATGCTGAGCCCTGTCCTGCACTGTGGGCTGATCTCCAGGGTCAGATAGAGGGATTTCAGTGCATTTCAGCCCCAGCTGGCAGCGGGTTGGTGCTGCTATTGGGGGACTGGTTGATGTGATGGGAGCAGTGCTGAGAGAAGGCTGCAGCTGGGTGAGCAGCCGGGGGACTTTGCGTGCTGGGTTTCTTCTTACATACCACAGTTGGTTCTTGTGAATGTTCCTTATGCAAGTGCATCAAGCACTGAGTGGCATGCAGGAGGGCAGCAGGAACAACACCATATGAGAGGGATGGGAGTGGAGCTGTGAACTGGGGTGGGTCAGTCTGGAGAAAAGGAAACTCAGAGGAGACCTCATTGGTCTCTACAGCTGCCTGAAAGGAGTTGTGGTGAGGTGGGGTCAGCCTCTGCTCCTGGGTGATAGTGATAGGATGAGAGATAATGGCTTTAAGTTGTGTTGGGAGGGTTCAGGTTGGATATTGGGAAAAATTTCTTCTCCTAAAGAGGATTCAAGCACTAAACAGGCTGCCCAGGAAGTGGTAGAGTCAGCATCCATGGAGGTGTTGCAGAGCCATGGAGGAGTGGCATTGAGGACGTGGTCAGTGGGCACGGTGGGATGGGCTGGGGTTGAACTTGGTGATCTCAGAGGTCTTTTCCAACCTTAATGGTTCTGTGAATAGTAGAAATATTGTGGAATCACTTCATGCTTCGCTGGGTCAGAAGCAGTTGTGGAATGGACAGTTGTGGAAAATTTCCCTGCAACATCAGCATGAAGGTACCCAGACATAAAGTCTTGTGTCACCAAGGGGCTCGTGTTTGTGCTCCTTGGGGCAGCTTGATCCTCCTTCACAAGAGGACATAACCATGGGGCACTGTGTAGACACCCCCTGTCAGCGCCCATGGGTAAACCCAAATCACTGTTACAAGAGAACTAGAACCCTGGGAGCTGCAGGGACTCACGCTGGGTCACATAGAACAGGGAGAACCCCCCCAGTATTTCCCAAACCTGGACTCCGCACAGCACTCAGCAGCACACAGCACTCAGCAGCACACAGCCAGCCCTCTGGCCACGATCCCTCCATCCTCATGCTCTCCGTTCTCACGGCAGGCTTTCAGAGGCGCGCTGATGAGCTCATATTGGTGCTCTGGGAAAGGCGACGTGATCGAAGACTGGTGCAGGTGTGACCTCAACGCCTTCGACGAGAACGGGCTCCCGAACTGCAGCCCCCTCCCTCAGCCTGTGTACGTATCCCCCTGCTCCACAGTGCTGTCCCCATCCCATGGGATGCAGGGACACCTCCTGCTGTGTGCCACTGAGCCCATTGCTGTGCTCCAGGGCGCCTCGCTGCCTGGCTGCTGTCTGTAGGAGATCCTGGCTCTGGCTGTGGCCCTGGAAGGTTTCCTTCTAGATTTTCATCACCTGATTAGCAGGGCTCGTAGAAGGGGATTTCAAATGCTGAAAGAAATGGAATTATGGTGCAATTCATTGTGGCTTGTCAGAGCAAAAGCAAATCAGGAGCAAGCTGATGGGGAATTAGCTGAGAAAGCAGGAAGACTGGCTCCAGAGCTCCACAAGGACACCTGAGTGAGCCAGTGTTCTCCAAGGGGGATTCATTTCCCATTCTGAGTTAAGAAACACATTCATACATGTGGTGCTTGACTCTCCCAAGTCCTGTGTTGCGTTGCTGCTTGCCCCATTGCAGAGGGGGCAGTTGTTTTTGTGATAGCACAGAGCCTAGGGCTGCTCTGCTGCACCCACAGTTTCCAACCCAGGCAGGGTTTTACTGCCCAGCTTTTGCTTTTATTTTTACTCACACCCATCAGAACTTGTTCTTTTGCAGCTGGGTAAGTTCTCAGCCACACCTGCCACTTCTCATAGCACAGTCCTGACCTTCTCTTTGTGTAAACTCAGCCCCACTGGGCTGCCTGGAGTTAAGCTGGGTCCTCTCCTGCTCCTTGTTAGTCAGTCCTCAGCTCCCCATAGAGCTGCTGAGCTCCGGCAGCTCTCCCAGGAGGCAAAGCCTCCTGCAGATGGGATATGTAGGATTACAAGACCTCAGCTCTGCTAGGACCGGGAGGTGAGGACACCCACACAAATAGGCTGTACCCAACTGCAAGCTGCTTTTGTGCTCTTTGTGCATGCTCCTCTGCATGAAGGCGGGCAATTCAAGACTTGTGCTGCTTAGAATTCCTCCCAGAAAAGGAGCTGAAGCTGATGTGTTCTTTGGTTTCTGCCCTTCCCAGCCTGCGGCTGTCCCCCAGTGTGGAGCCCTCCAGCACTGTGGTCTCCCTGGAGTGGCTGGACGTGCAGCCTGCCATTGGGACGAAGGTGTCTGACTACGTCCTGCACCACAAGAAGGTGGACGAGTACACAGACACAGACCTCTACACAGGTGGGTGAAGCTATGGGGTGACTCTGTGCCCTTCGGAGGTGTGTGCTGTGCTGAGCTGTGCTGGGTGTCCTTAGAGCTGCTGCTGCTTCTGTGAAGAAAGGTGCAAGGAGCAGAGGTGTTGGGGTGGTGTTGAAGCCTTTAGGAGAGGTTTCTGAAGGCTTCTGCAGAGATGGGTATAGGATGGGAAGGAGGAAAACAAAAGTGCAGTGTGGTGGACTGAACTGATATGCACTTTTTGGGGTAGGAGAGCTGTGAGTTGGAGTTCTTGAGTGAAGCTGGTGTTTGATCTGATCAGCATGAAATGCTTCAGGATGGTGGGTGCAGGGGAAGGTCAGCCTGTAGCAGCTGAAGGGCTGTGCTGGTCCCTGCCAGTGAATGGGAATTGCGTTCCGACCTTTGGCAAGACACTTGAGTTACCTTGCACAGCTAGCAAAGCAATGTGAAGCCTGCAATTTTTGGAGGGATCACTTAAGTAGCACGGGGAAATCCGAAACTTCCCTGGGCTGGAGCTCAGTTTTTAGCTCTGGGCTGGGCTGAGCACTCTGTGCCCTGTGAAGGCTTTGTCAGCAGTTCGGCTGTGTGCTTCAGGGGCTGCTGGGCGAGGTGGAGGGATGTGAAGGATGGGGTGGATCTCAGTGAATCACTGATTTATTTCAGAAAATACCATTGGAGGCCTTGAGTGTTGCTACCGCTGCTTAGAAAACCAGGCAAAACCTCCTACTGCTTCTCACTCAAGGACTTTGGGTTTAGCTCATTAAAGTGGTTCATTTGAGCGGGCAGGGGCAGCTGGTTGTTGATTGAAGCAGAGATCTGCCTTTGTGCAAAGGGTCCCAGGTGCTGGCAGTACCAAATTCCACCCTTCTCTGGTGAGTGAGAATTAGGAGAAGGTTTCCACCTGTGGTTGAAGTGAGAGTTTGCAAAGCCCAATGGCTATTGTGATTAAAAACCTCATTTGGTTAAAAGTAGGGCTTTCTTCTGCACCTCCCTGCCAGCACCTGCTTACAGAGCTGCCCAGTGCAGCCACGGCCCCAGCATTGTGTTTCTAGTTTCCTTGTCTGGAAGAAGGTTTGCTCTTCATCTCAGAGGAGCAAATTCCAATAATGGAGAAAGAAAACAAGCCACCAAAGTGCTGTGTTTGGGATGGGGATTCCAGATTGCTCACACATCGGTCAGGTGAGGCCAGACCAGGGAAACAAGGGGTTGCTCCTTTGAAGCGGCTGGAGCTCTGCCTGGCAGCCAGAGTAGGAAACACAGATTATTATTTTTTTCTTTTTATGACTGCCATGTGTTTGACAGGCCATTGAATTCACTGTGAGGAGCTGCCTTCCCCTTTCCCCGCTCTGGGGGACCATTCAGGACACAATGACCCCATTAACAGTTAAAGAGAAAAGCCAATCCTGAAACTCTCCCTTATTTTTCTGCATTGTTTATAACCAAACAACATTCCTTTCTTCATTCTTTTCTTACCCTGCAGGCCTCTGATGCCAGATGACTTGATTCTCTTTCTTACCTTTATATAATTACTAAAATGCTGGCTGCTGCAGCTTTCAAAGGCTTTGCTTGGTGCCATGCTTCACCTGACCAAAAATCCCACCATAGGTATCCCCTCACTGCCATTGTGTCTCCATCCCATGTGGACAGTGCATGCAAGAAAAACATTTAAAAATAATTCAACCCCAGAAGGGGTAGTCCTTGAGAGAAGGGTGTTGCAGGATGTGAATCTTTAAGGGTGTTTGGTGGATACTGCTGAATCTTCCTCCCCCACCGGTCCTGTGGCTGCAGGTAGGTAGGGACAAGTTGCTTCTGTTGTTAGGAGGTGTGCCCATGTGTTTGCAGAGCATTGGCAGTGCAGGGTTGGCAGAATCCTGCAAGGTGGGAAGGCTACTGAGGATGCTATTGTCTGGTCCCTTGCATCTTTTGAGTCTAAACGTGTGTGCTGTTCATGGTTTGGCATTGTAACAGTTGCAGCCACTTCTGATTGTGACCTGTGGTTGTGCCAACCTGCTCTCCAGCTCCATGGAAAGCTTCAGTTCTAGATGGTACCTGCCTTCTCCCCTCTGCAAAAACTTCCCACTTGCAAAACTCCGTGGCCTCTCCTTGCTTTGCAACTGGAGGACGCAGCCATTCCCTTGAGCCAGAAAATATTTTCTCCTCTTCTTGGAGTTAAGTCAGGAGCAGTGAGTTTGGGGCTGGTCTAATACACGTCCTCCACTCCTGCAGTGGGGTGGAAGGGGCCAGGAGCCGGTGTGGGTCAGCTGCCCCCTGGCTGGACGTGGTTTTTAAAGAGGCTTCTTACTGGTGCTTGGAAACACACAGCCCTCGGCCCAGCTGATGTGAATAGGAGCAGTTCCCGAGGTGAACTTGTGCACAAAACAAACCACACTTTCAACACCAGAGTGCGGGGAGAGCGGCTCTCCGCTCGGGAGCCAGCAGAGAAGACAGAGAGCAATTACATCCCAACTGTTTATTAAAACTTGTGGAAATTACTCATAACTCCATGTGTGCGATGGCTTTGTAGTTGAGTGATGCTCTTTGTTTGAACATGAGGCTCTCGAAGAGGGTGCGAGCGCGTGTGTGTGCGCGGCCCAGCCGCCAGCGCATGATGTCATGGCTGAAGCAGGCGCTGCGCTGGAGAGAGGGAGAGAGAGAAATGTGTTTTACAGGGTGAGGTACAAACTGAAATGGCTGTGAACATCTGGAACTGATATTAGGCTTGGAAAATGTTTTCTGTCACTCCAACACTCCTCTGGAGGAAGGTTTCTGAAGTTAAGAAGCTCCGAAGGGGATGAGGGGGAGGGATAACGTGACTGCTGTGCAAAGTGCTTTTTATTTCTCTGTCCTGGTTGCTGTTGCCAGGCTGTCCCTGCCTGTGTCAGGCAAGGGCCTGGGTGTCATCAGTGCTTGTTGTGGTGGCCCCGCTCAGAAGATCCCTGGGAGAGCTGAGCCCTCCTTGTAAGATGCTCTGGTAGATGGGACACTGCGTCTCCCATTGGGGTGGGTAGGATGGAAGGCTGCCTGCCCTGCTTTTAGGGTTTGATTGCTGACCATTCTCCTTACTGTGCCTTGAACCCCTCTGCAAGAGCCTCAGCTGCTGGACGCAGAGCTTGGCGAGGGTTGGCTCCATGGCTCTCCTCCTCATCTTCAGTCAGTGCACATCACCCAATGCATCCTGCCTCAAACTACATCCAAACTGCGAAGGGTCAAACCCTTGGGCATTGGTGGGAGTAGAGTGGAGTTCGTGCTGGTCTTGGGGTATGTGTTGCTGCTATGATGCTGGGGGAGCTGTTTGATCCCTTTCTTGATGTTCCTCTGCCATTTCTCTGACTGTCTCCACCCAAAGAGCCCTCACCCAAACTTTCTGGTCCCCAGCACTGGTACAGCCCACATCAGCATCCTCTGCTCCCAGCGCTGCCTTCAGAGACCAATCCTGCAGCCCTTCCACATGGCTGCAACATGGAAGTCAGAGGACCAGTTCAACAGAGAAGCTGCTATCCAATGTATTCTCGTGGGTTGCAGCTTTTCCCAGCGGGGACCATCTCACAGCTCCATCTCACAGCCCTCTCACACCAGTTTTTCTCCTGTTGAATGAAAGCTGACCACCTCCATAGGAGCAGATTGACTTGTGAGCAGGGTGCCAGCAGCAGGTGGTGCTGACCTGTCCTGCTCCTCTGCTTCCAAAGGGAGCTCCTGCAAAGGGAGGCAGAACAAATGGGGCCTTTCCAAAAGAGATCGCCCCTGGGGCCATGGCTCCTGCTGCAAATCAGATTGATTGCAGTTGTAGGAAGAGACCCTTCATCCAGAGCATCTTGTAGCCCTAGAAAGGAGGGGAACAGAAACAAAGGCTGCAGAATGAGCTTGTTAGAGCTCACGTTGACCTTGGAGCAGGAGAATGCAGGCTTGAGCTGTTTAGATCTCAGACGGACTCTACAGGCCCACAAATACTGAAGCTGTGCTTATCCAAAGCCTGTGCTGCTGCTGTAGGCCTCTCCAGAGCGCTGCTATTCTGCAGACGACTCTCTGTGTCTGTATCGTGCCTGTAAAAGAGAGTGAAATAGGTCAAACCAGAAGTAATAGCATTTTACACACTTGCAAGTTGCTCTCCAAATAGAGGCTCGAGAGTGTCTTATTTATAACAGTTTGTCAGTGTTCTTCAGGCATCGTTCTGATGTGCCTGGATGGCTGGGGCTGGATAGATATACAGCTATGGTAACCATCCCTTCCACCCCGTGTGTGTGCAAGCTGTGCTGCTCGTCATGTGGAAGCCAGCCGCAGGCTGGAGGAAGGGGAGAAAAACCTATTTGGCCAGAACAAATCCTGGGCTTGTCAGGAAGGAGCCCATGTGCTCTCCTTATGACCAAATTGCACTCACGTTATGTGCCTTAAAATAGTCTTTAGGGTTCTGACTTCCATACAGGCTGAGCACCAAGGAGATGCTGCTGCCCTTATGAGGTTGTAGGAGTTGAGGTCAGTAGGTGTGTTAATATCCAGGGTTATAATTAAAACCAACAAGTATAGCAGATGTTAAGGTTTCAGTGGTTAAACCAGTTGTTGTTAAAGATGTTGATGGTTTTGAGTGTGGGTGATGATATTGACTGCCTCTGTGAAGTCCTTCGGAGAGCAAGCTCTATGTATTGATGTAGGTGCTGTGTTTGTAGGTGAATTTTTGGTTTCAGTGTTGGCCCGGGGGATGCAGGCTCTATAGCTGGTGGTGCACAAGCTGAGGCTGGAACAAGAAGCCAGGGCTCTGCTGGGTTCAGGAAGCAGTTCTTTTGCAGCTCTTTCAGGGGTCACCTGTGTATTGGACTTGATTCAGAAAGGGTCCTTGAACATCACTGGTGTGGAGAAAGATGTGGTGGTGGGTGGAGGCTGAACCAGCCTTGTGCTCAGTGCTCAGTTGTCCCTGCCTGCCTGTACCTTGTGGTAGATCTCTGGGTTTCAGGCTGGGCAGGAACTTGGCAGACTCCAGCTGCCCCTTGGTGAGCACTGTGTTGTTTATCTAC